CTTTGCTAGGTCTGGGTTTTAACACATCCCCAAGTGCTTTAAGCGACAAACATCTTTATCGTAATTGCGATGGTTGATTAGATGGCAATACCATTAAAGGCCTATTAGATGCGATCTGTGATTTACTATATGTTGTTCGATTTCTTGGTATGACTTGTAAAAAAAAATATAGATTGATAAGTGTGAACACATGACTTGTAGTACATTATATGTGCAACATCTACATGCGATGACAAGTCAACAGACAACTTGGATACATCACATCCATGGTAGGTTAGATCACGTGTATAGTCATGTGTATCCTGAAATGAAACATGCCTATGTCTGGAATTGTATCACATCGTATCACCATGTATCACCAACATTCTACCAACTCTGCACATGATCACTTCGGAAGTAGAAATACAAAGCCTGCGAGATATTCAATGGACCCTTTTGTTTTGCCCTTATGATTCCTGAAGTTACTGAGGAAAAACCTAATTGCAATATGTATAAATAAATAAATAAAAAAATAAATAAATAAATAAATAAATAAATATATATATATACGTATAATAGGCACGGGGTCGCATTTGCCCCTACCTCATGTGGGGTCGCATTTGCCCTTACCTCAGTCGGGGGTAGGGGCAAATGTGACCCTAGGGTAGGGGTGAATGTGACCCCTGCTTTTGTGTGGCAGGCGCGATAGTTTCAGAGCCTCGAAATGATCTTTTCCACCTCAGAGAGTCATTTTCACGTGTTATGTTGGAAAATTGCTTTCAAGCACCTCCAAGACGCTGTGGATGCTACGTTGTAACATCCATTTCAACATAACATCCCGTGTCCCCAGGTCTTACCCTAAAAGGTTGAATGTCATATTTAATAGTGAGGGCAGTGACTCAAACTATGTCCCCATGTCCCCCCTAAATGTTCCCCAGTCCCCCCTAAAAGTCCCGTGTCCCCGGGTTTTACCCTAAAAGGTTGAGTGACATATTCAATTCAATAGTGAGGGACGTGACTTAAGCTATGTCCCCAAGTCCCCCCTAAATGTTCCCAAGTCCCCCCTAAATGTTCCCCAGTCCCCCCAAAAAGTCCCGTGTCCCCAGGTTTTACCCTAAAAGGTTAAGTGACATATTGAATAGTGAGGGAAGTGACTTCAGCTACGTCCCCAAGCCGTCCCTAAATGTTCCCCAGTCCCCCCTAAAAGTCCCTTGTCCCCAGGTCTTACTCTAAAAGGTTGAATGACACAGTCAATGGGAAGGATAGTGGGGTAGGGGCGAATGTGACCCCTTTTGGGGTAGGGGCGAATGTGACCCCTGGGGTAGGGGCGAATGTGACCCCCGTCCCCCTAATAATACCTTATATAATATGCATATTTTGTATCGTGGTAGCCGGTAAGATAGTTTGAACGTCCAGAGACGCAAACCAGTTGCCATTGTCATTGCTTTCTCGTTGCATGAAGCACTTTTCGTGGCTAGATATACTGTACTTGTCGAGTACATAATCATAATTAATCATATCTCGATTGTTTTCCCACATTTTTGTTGGGGGGAATGGGTTAACGTCTAAGACTCGCAAACAGCACAGATGTTTATTATGTTTTAAAAGCATGGGTAATAAATCATAACCCCATTCAATCATAAATGGTAAACATCACGTCGCCTCGGATTTCTTGGGATTGTCCAGGAAGTTCATTGGGAGTAATGTGGGTAAACCAATTTCATAACCCATCCCCCAGTCATCACCATACATAATTAGGTGGTAGGTTTACCATTTCCAAATTGGTGGTGTATGGCATTGTTTAACCCACATTAGTTAGATATTCCATGATTATGCCATTATTATACCATGATTATCCTACATGTTTATCCCCTTTTTGCAGTTGATGATAGTTATTATCCACTATTATCCACTATTTTCCCCTACTAATGATGGTTAAACATGGTTATCCTACTATTATCCCCACATTCCATGTGTAGAAAATGATGGTGTGAACAGTCCACCATTTCTAGATCACGCAGACCTCGTCGCGCCATTGGGGCGACTTGTGGGCGTTTTTTTGGTGGCGCCATTCGGTGGCGCCATTGGGGGATCAAGAACAAGAGAAACATTTGGGTTTGGAATTGGGGTACACTAATAGATATTTAGTAACTATCAATAGATATTTACTGAACTATCAACTATCATTTTTTTCAGGTACACTAATCTGACTGTTGACAGTTGATAGTTCAGTAAAGATAGTTAGTGAAATATATCTTGTTGGTGGTTTGGAACATTTTTTATTTTCCATTTCATATATGGGATAATTATTCCCATTGACTTTCATATTTTTCAAGATGGTTAAAGGCACCAACCAGATATATATATATATATGAATGCTCCTGAACTATAATGTCAACCCCGGATTAGTAAACCATGGTTATGATTTGATACTGAAATGGTACCTTCCCAATTAAGCAGCCTAGGGGTTTATGAATCCAGGGTTGACATTATATACATCCCTCTTTTTTCGGTTGTTGAGAGTTCCACAGGAGCATTCAGCTGATATGGGCAGCTTATCTCCTCTCCCAGAATCGGTTGTACACCACCATGGTAATCTATGATCCAGCTGGTTCGTTTACTGCTGGTAAAACCCCAATGATAATCTATGTACCAGCCATAGTTAACTAACCAACCACGGCCCATCTTGGTGATTTGCTTAAAAAACACCATGTTTGTTGGTTAAAAAATCCATTAATTTGTTGGCTAAGTACAGGAAATTCCCCGTTGTTTTCCCTTCGCCTTCGTTGCATCGTTGCATCGTTGACTTCAAGGTGAAAGAATGGGCCAAGAAGCATGAACTTGCGAGTAGCACAGATGGTTGCCTGAACAGTTCCTCGGCCGAAAAGCCTTGGCAGTAGCGAAGAATTTTGGGCTACTAAGACCTGCAAAAGGCACTGAGGAACTGGGATTTGAAATGATTTGAACTCATCCAATTTTCTTTGGATGGCTATATATATATATATAACTAACTAAATAAATAAATAGATAGATAAATAAATAAATAAATACAAATATATATATATAATATGTATATTATACATATATGTGGGTTTAATCTCAAGATATCTCGAGCTCTACCCGTGGGTGGGGATTTTTGACGTATGGCTCCACCTTGACCAGCGCCATGATCTTCAGAGGGATGCCAGTGCGCAAATCCTCCAAGGTTCTATACATATTACACTATTTAACACACAATATTTATATAGTACTAGTATACACATACACTAAACCAATATTATAATATAATACTATGGATATTACCCATATCCAAATATTATATATACACTACTATACACTATGCACTATAATATATATATATATATGTTATATGCGTTTGATTTTTTTTATCCGCACTTTTCACATGTGTGACAACTCCCGATATTTTTTGTGTGTGTTGTATCTTGGCGTATTCTGCAAGGCTATGCCTACATGCTCCTGGTGGTATTCTTTCTTCAAAGCGTCCAACCACCTGTCGTCCCTTGGTATCGACATTCGCCGGAGTCACTGGCGACCGAAGCCTGGAATGATGGGAATTGGTTGGGTGTAATCCCAATATAGCCGAACTTTGCAGGTTAGTGACAGGTAGTGAATTATTATAATTTACCCCACACTCATGACACTATGAATATCATAAGATTTCTGATATGTTTTCACGCCTTTGTCTTGTGGGACTTTTTTTCTGAAAAGCAACCCTTCGTTGTCTTTAAAATCGCCGGATTTTCGATCATCACCTTGTGGAAATGGAGGTTAGTGGGATGTTTTTGAGTGGAAATGCTGTGTTTTTCTTGGTCATGGGCCACTTTTGATTTTCGAGACCATTGGATGGTCGTTGGGCTTCAAACTTTTGAGTGCTGACAAGGCCAGAAAAACCTACCTTTCTGGAGGATCGTAGTTTATCACAGTTTCAAAAGGCCTAGTTGGTGGATATGGTTTTTAATGTATTTTTGTTTGTCTAATGTATCCAAGACTGATTGGCCATGTAACTCACTACCACCATAATTGACTGGGGGATTGAAAAAAACACACATATGAGGATAGAATAACAGATGACGGTTGGGGTCCAACCAACTGTCATTATGGTTACTGTAATAATTACACTAGCCTTGAAAAATAGGGGATAAGCCATGGGACCATGGGGATCCCGGTTGGACAAACATTGGGGATCCCCCTGCCCCTTTGAGGTCCCCAACTTGCAGATGTTGGAGCAGGAGTCGTTCCTGGTTCCTGACAGATGCTTTGCAAATCCACAGATGAGTGTGCGGTCTGGTGGAAAAAAATCACTGAATGGATCCATCTATATAATTATATAATTATATATATCTATACAGCAATATGATCCTATTTATGGTGGTAGGTGGTTGCAACATGCATGTTATAATTTGTTTCAACTTGCCGTGTCTTGGTGTATGATTTGCTCGTCATCCAGACTACCCAGGCTGATATTCGTTAAAATGAGCCGCAGAAAATGGAGGTTTTCCATGGTTTTCCTACATGTTCATGACCAATGTTGTAGGCCACCAAGTACTTGGGAGTGCAGTTCCGTTTAAAAGTGAATATGTATATATATATATATTATAACCATCATTACATCATATTATACCCCAGTTATGTACATATATATATTTAAAATATTATATACATTGGATATCACCAGTAATGGGTTAACCACATCCTGGGATGCACATCCAAGCACCCTTTATGTTTTTGACCCATGGAAACACGGCGGGTACCGCAGTTACCGCTCTCCACTTAGCTCCGTCATAAACCAGCCATATCTATTGGTGGTTGGAATCCCCATGAAAATGGTAAATTTGGGGGTGGTGGATTCGATTGCTTTACCACATGATCCGCTGGGTTAACCACTTAAATTGGCTTTGATCATCCAAAAACTATGGGACAATTAGCGATGGATTTGAAAATTTGTCACCGGTTGCTGAGGAAAGTGGGGAGGGGAAGATTATTGGGAGACGAAGTTCAAGATGAACGTGGATGATCTTCCACCCTCATCCAACAAAATGAGCATTGGTCCGGGGCCTCAGGTTTGCACATCACCGAGATCCCATGAATCTCAATGGCTTTGAAGAGGCTTGTGAAACCTTTTTCTAAAATCAATGTAGTATGGCAACCCAAAGAAAACTCCAGATGATTTAAGAGTATTTGATCAAACATAACACACCATCCCTGATCTAATATTCTGCACCTTTTCTTTATCCCTAGACTGAGAATGGTTTATTTCTTCATGCTCAGCTCATTATTGGGTCCACATGAATTCCTTCCCCCTGATATTAAACAACCCGAACTGAAACCCTGCTTGAATGTGGATCAATTCATCAGGGGGCCCGGTCATGGGAGGAATCGACCGCTCAGGTGAATTGCTGATCAATTTCTTTCAGTTCTACGCGCGTGACTTTGATTGGCGACGTCATGCCGTGAGCATGCGCCGGTGCGCACGGGACGAGTGGGATGTTGGATGCAGAACTACCTGTCCCACCTCTGGGCTATGTTGGACAAAGGCTTCCTCTAAAGAAAAGGGTTGAACACAAGGAGGTTGGAACGTTCAAACTTGATGCGTGAGATACATTTGATCAATTGGGGATTGCTTGGATTCGTGAAAACTTATGGTCAAAGGAAGTTTAGTTAGGAAACTTCCGAGTTACGGACGATTGTCATGGCTAGCTTTCTCACCATCATGGCAACCACATCATCATCTCAATCATCATGTCAACCACATCATCATGGCAACCACATCATAATATCATCACGTAGTTGGGAAGTGTAAGAGATCCGGAACGCGTGAATTCAGTCTTGAAAAGACTCTCGGGCGCGAAGCCCCGTGTTTTTTCGAGTAAAATGGCCATCCGTGGTCGCCGAACTAGGGTCTTTGTTTCCGCGGTTTCGCAGCTCGATCAGAAAATGTTAAGAAATTGTCAAGGTCGCAGCACTTTTGCAAGATGAGGTCGACAAAATGTGCACAAGACTGTCGCAAGAGCTCGATTTCACATAAAAATCGCAAAAAACTGTCACGGTCAGAGCACTTTTGGAAGATGAGGTCGGAAAAAGGTGCACGAGACTGTAGCGACAGCTCGATTTCACATACAAATGGCAAAAAACTGAGGGGACCAGAGCGCTTTTGGAAGATCATTGTTGTACAGATATATCATAAGTTTGCTTCCTTGTGAAGGACCACTAGAAGAAAAAAAAGGAGCTGATCCAAGAATGCGAGTTAGTGGTACTCTAGCTTTAGTGGTTCGAACTGGTCTCTGTTTTTTGCCTTTTGGGCTGGTCGGCAAAAGGTGAACGAGACTGTAGCTATAGAGCTCGATTTCATATGTCATGGCTAGCTGTCGCACTATCATGGCAACCACATCATCATCTCAATCATCATGTCGACCACATCATCATCAAGTAGTTGGGACGTGTTTAAGAGATCGGGAACGCGTGAACTCAGGCTTGAAAACACTCTCGGGCACGAAGCCCCGTGTTTTTTCGAGTAAAATGGCCATCCGTGGTCGCCGAAGGTCTCTGTTTGCGCGGTTTCGCGGCTCGATCGGTCAAAGTTGTCGACAAAAAGTGCACGGGACTGTAGCGAGAGCTCAATTTCTACTTGGAAAATGTTATAAGAAACTGTGAAGGTTGCAGCGCTTTTGCAAGATGAGATCGACAAAAAGTGCACAAGCCTGTAGCGAGAGCTCGATTTCACATAAAAATATAAAATCGCAAAAAACTGTCACGGTCGGAGCACTTTTGGAAGATGAGGTCGGAAAAATGTGCACGAGATTCATTTATTCATTTATTTATTCATTCATTCATTCATTCTCGCATTCTTGCGTTTTTGTATTCTTGCAGTCAGTCATTCATTCATTATTCACTCATTCATCCATCCATCCATTATTCATTCCTTCCTTCCTTCCTTCATTCCTTCATTCCTTCATTCCTTTCCTTCATTCCTTCATTCCTTCATTCCATCCATCCATCCATTCATTTATTCATTCATGCATTCATGCATTCATGCATTCATGCATTCATGCATTCATGCATTCATGCATTCATGCGTTCATTCATTCATTCATTCATTCATTCATTCATTCATTCATTCATTCATTCACTCATTCACTCATTGCATCTCATTGCGTTTCCTTTCATTTCACGTCATTTCACTTCTTTCCTATAAGCAAACTGGTTCCTTTAGCCGTGTTCTATTTTCGAAACTTCCGCCCCGGTGCGTGCCAGGCACTACCTGGTACCATATTTTGGGGGTTGAACATCAATGCCACCTACTAAAAGAGGAGAACAGAAGAGTGCCTGGGTTTTGATGCATAGGAAATTGTCTCCCAGCTACTTCTCAATCGACCATTTTTCTCTAGTGATATTCCTTTTCTTGTGTTTGTGCTTACACATAGACAATGATGCTGTAGATTTTCATTTTTTCTCAGGAAAAACATAGCCGCATTGAACCATTGTTTGTCACTTATTACAGTAATTACCAGTGGAATTGGGGATAATATGGTTCCGCACAATATTGTTTTCAATGGTTATTTCCATTTATTTCCCATGTTTTGATTTTTTTGCAATGGTGATCACAAGCCTTAGTGACCCTAGAACCCTATTGATGTGTTACTAACCAATCATGTAGCCGTAGCCAATGGCTCACATATCCTTCTCGCTAAAGGTTGTGATGTACATGTACATCTATATACAACATTATACAAGAATATATCCATACATATGTTGTCATCCCCCAAAATGAAATAATTCCACGGAAATTCCCTCACAGTGTTGTTCGTTCCTCTTTTCCAAAACGCATTTTGGTTGTTCACCAGCAACAAATCCTCCGCCCCCGCGGCATCGGAAGGCAAGCAAACAGTGGACAAAAACTCCTTGTTTCTTGGCATCCGCGCGTCAGTGTCGATGATAAACGGTTTATTTTCTCAATATTTCAGTAATTTATTCTTGAGTGGATTAAGTCTGCTTATGCCATGTTATGCCACTTGTAACTGGTGTTATAACCCAGGGATACATGTTCTTTTCGTGTTTTTAGACTGAATTCTTGAGTTCATCCGACAAACCCATGGGATCCAGTTGTGGTACTCTATCTTTGTGTACGCGGACCTATATCCAGCTCAAAACTCAATGGTTTTTGTTGTATTTGTTGTACTTAGTATCTCAGGTTGGCTAGGGATAGTTACTCTCCAGAAAAAAACCATGATCGCGGTGTGTTTCATGGCCCATGTTCGAGAACAGCAACTTACCCGATGGGGGAATGTCTACGTGCAGATCTCACCAACTTCATGGTGCAAATCAAGGAATTGAAATGGGAATAGTACATGCAGGTTATGATTGCTACTTGTACAATGTGAGGCCCCCAAGATAGCTAAGTTGGTTTATAACTCCAATAACGATGGTTTATGGTACTTATAACTATAGTTACTGGGGCTTATAAACCAACTTATAACTGGGGGGCCTCACATTGTATGTTGTTTTTCTAAGAATACTTCTTTTGTGCCTCCCTTTGCTGTGCCATGCCACAGTTCCGCTAATGCCACACTGGTTACTCTGCCCTCAACATATATAAAACACTATTTGGTGCATCACATATATAGCCACCAGAACCATTGTTGGTAATGCTTGGAGTGGCAAACCCTTTGAAACAGCACCCAACTTTTCGTTTTATTTTTTCATGATGTATGTTTAGATGTTGAAGCATATCAGCAGTACCCACATGAATCGCACTGATACCCTGTGTGTATTCAAAGAAGTGCCATCCGATTCCCCCATTTGAACGCCAGCTGCATGCAGCCTCCAAAATGGTTGACCATGGCAGGTTTGTGAACCAATCCTTTCCAATTATACATCTCCCATAGGGAGAGATGTCCGCCCCTCTCTCTCTCTCTCGATAATATATTATATATATACATAAATAATATACACACGGTATGTATGCATGTATAAAAATTAAGTATATTTGTGTATATATATATATTATTTATGTGTATATATATAGATATACGATTTTAATGCACGGAACATAATTTCCGTTAAACTTTGATGACCACGAGTCCTTCGTGAACAGGGTGCTTCCCGCCAACGATGACCAGTGGTACGTCGAAGATCCCTTTGATTTGAAACACAATCTCGCAGGCAGCGGGCAGTGTTGGGTTGATATCCCACGATGTCAAAGCCCATGTCATAGCTACGTTGGTTTATACATATAACTGGTTTTACTGGTTTAACTATGGGATCACCATGGTTGATGATACATATAGCCATGGCATAACTATGGTTCATGATACATATTATAACTATACATATACTCCAACAACCATGGTATAACTATGGTTGATGACACAAATAACTATAGCTACTGGGATTTATAACCCAACTTAGCTATCTTGAGGGCCCCACATTGCAGGAATCTGCATTTCAAGAACCTGTTTGACCTACCGATATGAGCCATGAAAGATTTATCGGTGAGCGTATGGTGGGTTCTACCAGCAATATAGAGGTATAGCAGTATATCCGTAGCCAACAATAAAACGAACTATGAGGAGATCTCGGAAAGCGTCTGGAAAGGTACTCTGGCACAGATATTTTGCCGTAGTTGGGTCATTAGGTATAATATCTGGTTGGTGGTTTGGAACATGAATTTTATGACTTTCCCATCATATTGGGAATTTCATCATCCCAACTGACGAACTCCATCATTTTTCGGAGGGATAGGTATACCACCAACCAGTAATTAAGCATTATCAGCCATGATTAACCATGATTAACCACTATTAACCACTATTTTTCAAGATGGTTAAAACCACCAACCAGATATGTGGTTTTACCCTGGAGGATCATCCCACGGATCGCAAGTGGTTTGGGACGACTTCCCTGGTGAGTCCCCATTCAGTGAGCGTTATCCCATGGAAATATGTGGCTTATGACCCCAGTTACCAAGCAGTTTCTGACTAAGTGGCTTCCTCCTTCAAGTATTCACTAGATAGTAGGTTTTTTTTCACGTATCCAAAACAGGCATTTTTTAACTGGGTGTGTCCAAGAATATACCCAGTTTCATTGCCATTGTAATAGGACACCTCATGACCAAGCCACACGGGTGGAGCCTGAATTTATGATCGAGCTGAAAGTTGACACATTCCGCATAAACACTTCGCTCAGCGTACGGCGTATTCTACGGTAGAACTACAATATTACAATCAAATTTTGGATCTTGATGCGCCTGAGGATGGTTCTTATTTCTTGGTTAGGAAAGTGACTTGAGACTTGGATGTGGTAATGAACTATATCATATATTCATTTATATTATCAGATCTATATCATATCAATTGAGACAATAGATGTGGTTTGTCATGTCCAATCTTGGTGTAGTTGAGGGGTTTCAAACTCAACCATTACCATTGGGATTTCAACCTTTTTACCATTAGGTTTGGTAAACAAAATCCCCCATGGTAATGGTCAAGCCATATTTACCCATATATAAAACCATGGAGATATGGATATTTAATGGTTTTTTCTAGGGAAAATGGCTATTTAA